CTATGCCCAAGTCAAGAACCGAATGCAGAAACCTGGAGAAAGTTTGCAGGAACTTGAAGCGGACATCGCTAGACTGATTCGATTGGCATACCCTACGGCACCGGAGAGCTTTCTTGATCAACTGGCTGTACAAACATTTATCGATGCCGTTCGTGATGGAGATGCCCAGCAGGCTTTGAGACTGGCTAGGCACGACAAAATTGAGAAAGCTTTGGCCCATGCGTTAGAATTCGAAGCCGCCAAGAAAGCTAGTCATGGAAGTGCGCGAGTACGTATGGTGGAACCTCGCAGTGAGAGCCGGGTAAGAACCATCGAAGAGGAAGGTGGCTCTGAAAGTTTTGAAGAAAAGGTCAGTAAAGTAGTGGAAGAAAAGGTCAATAAAGCAATACAGTCACTGGCAAAGAAACGTGAACCACGATGTTGGAATTGCGGCGAGATTGGACACGTTCGCCGCAACTGCCAAAAACCATTACAGCAGCCGGAAAACTAAGAAAGGTCGACAGGAAGGGGCTATCGTCGACCTGCAGAAACAAAGCCCCGATCTTCACTGTAAACATTACGTCGTCTGGAAAAGTTCTGAGCCTGTACATCGATGGCCGAGTTAATGGAGAAGACAGATCCTTGCTAGTAGACACAGGTGCAACAAGAACTATTGCAAGACCAGAGTTATTGAAGAATCATTCTCGGATCTCATCTTCGACCGTGCAGTTAAAAACAGCAACTGGTGAAAGAATAAAAACGCACGGAGAAATACAAATGTCTGTCACCATCGGAAAGACCACCATCAATCACCAGGTGCTAATTGCTGATATTTCTGATCAATTCATCTTGGGGATGGATCTTCTTAAGAAACTCGGAGCTGTGTTAGACGTGAAAAAGGGCGTGTTAAAGGTCGGCGATGAAGAACTCCCTTTCCATGAAGACAAAGAAGATGTCATCCGCCTGTTAACCACTCATGACGTCATTATACCCGGACTTAGTGAAAAAATTATAATGACCACTTTAGATGGATATTGTCGCCAGGGAAGCCTACGGATAGTCGAAGCACTAAACCAAAAGGAATTTCTAGTGGCTAGGGCTCTGGTAAAAGTTCAAAATGGCGTTCCGATTCGAATTATGAATTTGAAAGATAGTCCTGTTAAGCTAAGCAAACGAACTGCAGTTGGACAGTGTGTGCCCATCTCGGCTATTCGCTCTGTGAAATCGGAAAATCTATCTAAAGGAAAGTATCCAAGAGAGCTGATAGATATGGTCATTAAAAACACTCCAGATTTGGACAATAGACAACGACAAAAGGTGAAAAATATGCTTGTGGAATTCCGAGATGTGTTCGCGGTAAACGACCAGGACAAGGGCAAGACAAGCATAGTCACCCATAAAATAAATACTGGCAATTCCCAACCGATTAGACAACAGCCAAGGCGACTCCCATTGGCTAAACGAGACGAAGCGGAAGAGATTATTAGAGACATGAGAAAACAAGGTGTCATCGAGCCATCGAATAGTCCTTGGTCATCACCGATAGTGCTTGTAAAGAAGAAGGATGGCTCCACAAGATTTTGCGTTGACTACCGTCTGTTAAATTCGGTCACCAAGAAAGATAGCTATCCACTGCCAAGAATAGACGACACCTTGGACACTTTATCTGGAGCCCAATGGTTTTCCACACTCGATCTAAAGAGTGGTTATTGGCAAGTGGGGATGGAATCGACAGACCGAGAGAAGACCGCGTTTTCTATAGGCTCTGGACTTTGGCAATTCACAGTAATGCCTTTCGGATTGTGTAATGCCCCCGCGACGTTTGAGAGACTTATGGAAGCAGTTCTAAGGGGACTAACGTGGCAGACATGTCTGGTATATTTGGATGATGTAATTGTCGTAGGAAAAACTTTTGAAGAACACCTAAAGAACCTGAGAGAGGTGTTTGGACGATTACGAGAGGCCAATTTAAAACTAAGTCCCAAGAAATGCTTTATGTTCCAAAAAGAAGTTAAATATTTGGGGCACATCGTATCTCGTGATGGTGTTACAGCTGACCCAGAGAAGATTATAGCGATTCAAGAGTGGCCGATTCCTGAGAACAAGCACGAGATTCGAAGTTTCCTCGGTTTGTGCACCTATTATAGACGATTCGTGAAAGGATTTGCCAACATTGCCAAACCATTAATAAAGTTGACAGAAGAAGGCAATGAGTACGAATGGAGTGAAGACTGTCAAAGAGCTTTCGAACATCTCCGGCAGGCTCTTACTAGCGCACCTATCCTTGGCTACCCCAGAAATGAGGGAAAGTTTGTGCTAGATACCGATGCCAGTAACACCGCCATTGGAGCTGTTCTCTCTCAATTGCAAGACGGACAGGAAAGAGTCATTGCCTATTTCAGCAAAGTACTGTCGAAACCCGAGAGGAATTATTGTGTGACTAGGCGAGAGCTCCTGGGTGTGGTAAAGGCATGCGAACATTTCCATAAGTACCTTTACGGCCGCAAGTTCCTGATAAGGACAGATCATGCAGCGCTAAAGTGGCTCTTGCAGTTCCGAAACCCAGAAGGACAGGTGGCAAGATGGTTAGAACGTCTTCAGGAATATGACTACGACATTGAACACAGGGCTGGAAAAGTTCACAATAATGCAGACGCTTTGTCAAGAAGACCGTGCAAGGACAACTGCACACATTGTTCTAAAATAGAAGACAAGATTGGCCATCTGCGGCGAACAACTGTAGAGAGTGAGGAGTGGAAGCCAAGCGAAATCAAAACGGCCCAAGAAAACGACCCAAGTATAAAATCTGTTCTGAATTGGATGCGCCACGGACAAAGACCAGACTGGCAAGACATTAGTGCCACAAGTCCTGAAGTAAAGAGTTATTGGGGCCAATGGAATAGCGTGACTCTGAAAGACAACCTGTTGTATAGGACCCTTGAAAGTGAAGATGGCACCGAATCGACGCTGCAATTAGTAGTACCTAGAAGCAAAGTGTCGGAAGTATTGCGAAAATTGCATGACGGCGCTTCCGGAGGACACTTTGGTATTACGAAAACGTTGCAAAGGGTACGTGAGCGATTCTATTGGGTCAACCGTAAAGAAGATGTCCGGCGATGGTGTCAAAAATGCGAGTTATGTGCTACTGGAAACGGACCAGTTTCCAAGAAGAAGGCACCCATGAGGCAGTATAACGTTGGTAGTCCGATGGAACGAGTTGCTATCGATATCGCAGGACCGTTTCCCGAGACAGATGGCGGAAATAAATATATCCTAGTCGCTATGGATTATTTCACAAAGTGGACTGAAGCTTACGCCATTCCAAACCAAGAAGCAGCAACAGTTGCAGAAGTGTTGGTAAAGGATTTCTTTACACGTTTTGGTGTTCCTATAGAAATCCATTCAGACCAAGGAAGGAACTTTGAATCGGCTTTGTTCCAAGATGTTTGTCGATTGGTAGGAGCCAATAAAACAAGAACAACACCTTTGCATCCTCAGTCAGATGGAATGGTGGAGAGAATGAATCGAACGATGGGTAAATATCTTTCAAAAGTCGTGGCAGAACATCAGAAAAATTGGGATCAGTACCTCCACCTGTTCCTTATGGCATATCGATCAGCCGTCAACGAGACCACGGGTCAGACTCCTGCCTGCCTTATGTTGGGTCGTGAACTACGTCTTCCATGTGATCTCGAGTTTGGGCGTAAACCCCATGAAGAATATGTCGCAGGTGAAAATTATGTTGACCAACTAAAGGCCAAGATGAACGATATTCACGACTTGGCTAGAAGTCATATTCAGATTGCCAGCGATCGCATGAAAAATCAATACAACCTCCGCTCGGTCAATGAAACTTTTGAAGCTGGAGATCTGGTATGGCTGCACAATCCACAGAGACGAAGGGGTCTTTCTCCCAAGCTACAAAGACAATGGGAAGGTCCGTATGAGGTGATCAAGAAAATAAATGACGTGATATATCGTATCAGAATGAACCACCGAAAACCGAAAGTTGTCCACATTAATCGACTCGCACGATATGCCGGATCCAACAACAACGAAGAAGTTAGAGGTATTCGAGAAGAGGAACGCAGCTTTGGGATCGAGCCAAACTTTAACGATTTTATGTCAAATTACGCCCAGCGGAAGAAAGCTCGATTTGGCGTTACTCAGGAAATTTGTCAAAATATTTTTGAGCTTCCGGTTAACGTTTCCATCGCCCATTGTGTCGCCGAAGACCTTCGCATGAGTAAAGGTATAGCTTCCGTATTCCGGAAAAGATTTGGAAGAATAGACGAGTTGATAAAGCAAAGACCACGAGTGGGTAAAGTACTGCGCTTGGAAGATAGTCAACGCTCTTTGTTCTACTTGGTTTCGAAGAAAACGTCAGAAGGCAAACCCACCTATGAAAACCTCTGGTCTGCTTTAAAAAGCTTAAAGAAACTCATGGCATACTATGACATAAATAGCTTGGCGATCCCGAAGATTGGATGTGGTTTAGATGGGTTGGACTGGAAGATAGTGCGAACCATGATCGAAGTGATTTTTAGAAACACTAGCGTTCGAATTACAGTATGCTGCTTCAACCCACAGGGGACGACCCTCCGCAAAACTGTGGACTGTTACTTTTTCAAGAAAGGTGTTTGTCGAGCAGGCTCTGACTGCAGATTCCGACACGAGGCATTAAAAAGTAATACTAACGCAGTTTCTGAACGAGACGTCCAGAATTAAGAAGGGGGCAGTGTAACGGAAATGCCCCAGACATGACGTCGCCTTTGGCGTTCTGGAATTTTCTACGCGTATTCTAGAATGTTCGGGACTTACATTGCTTGCGTGTATAAATGGTTGCGGACCGAACATCGCGGGAGTTAGTCTACTATCGAACGAGATCGAGCACGGAAATATAAATTGCGAAGTGTGTGTGATATAATAATCGATATAAATTGTGCGGTTTTTATAGTGTTTTAGTTTTGTTTAATAAATATTGATATAAATCGAACCCGAATTTATAAATCACTTTACAATATTAAGTGGCCTAATGCGGAAGATTGCGAACAAATTGCAAATGATTTTCAACAGCGTTGTAATTATCCAGGTAAGGACATTTTTAAACCGCACAGCAATCAGCGTAATATGTTGTTCCTAGATGTGATTGGTGCTATTGACGGTTGCCACATAACTTGTAAAATACCCAAGGAGCAGCATGACAGTTATCAGGATCGCAAGTTTTGCCATTCCATTACCCTTCAAGGAGTGTGTATTTCCTCCAGATTATTTACTAATATTTCTGTTGGTTATCCAGGATCTGTGCATGATGCACGAGTAAGATAGTTTATGCAAACCTACAATCATGCTGTTAATAGTTTTGTAGATACTTAGAGAATCGGACTTGGGAAAAATCTGTGAAACTAACTGTTTCAATCTGTTTTACGGTAGATACCACTTGGTGGGAGATTCCGCATATCCATTAAGGTCATGGTTAATAACTCCGTATAGGTAGACACAAATACAAATAATTGCACATAGGTATTTATTGTTGTGGTTTAGGAACACTGGAATTATGCCGCTGCAACGGAAACACAACTACGCACATAGTGTGACACGGGTTGTAATCGAAAATACTTTCGGCATGTTGAAAGGCCGTTGGAGGATTTTAAATTTTGTTAATGTATATACCATTGAAAAGGCTATTGATATTATAACCGCATGTTGTATACTGCATAATTTTTGCTTGTTTACTTGTGATATATATGAAGTAGATGTCACATCAAGTGAACATGATAGTTGTGATACTTATATTGGCCGTAGAGATCGTGAAGGGACTAGAAAACGCGATTTGATATCACAAACTCTTTAATTCCTTTGTAAAAAAATTATAAATACTGATTTTGCTTGAATAGATATACATATAAAAATATAAACAATTTTTTAATCATCATCATCGCTATCACTAGAATGTCTTCTTCTTTTTCTTGTAGTTTTTTTAACCATTGATTCAAATAACGAAACTATTGTGGCTTTATGGGCATTTTGCTGCTCTAACAATTTATTCTGTGTAGTCATGAGGTTTTCTAATACCTTAAATTGGGAAGTTTGCATATCAATGTTTTCCTTATGCATCGTCAATAATGTTTGTATGACATCTGCTTTGGGTGGTTTTACCGATTTACGTATATTATGGAAATGAGAATCTAGGTGTCGTGTATGGGATCTTGATAATGGGGTAGAGGATTCGAGTAGATGGGAAGATGATGTGGGTGTCTGTGATCGGGAGGAAGATGACGTGGGGGTGAGTGGTTGCTGGGAAGTTGTTGCACATGGCTGTGGTTGATGGATTACATTTAATTCATCTTGAGTATCTGCTAATTGCAGTGAATCCTTAATATGCCCTAATGTTATTTTGTGTTTATCACCCAAAATGTTATGTAATAGGTCATAATGAGGTGGTGGTTCCCGTGCTTCACCTCCTGTTGTTTTTACATGTTTTATAAAATTTATGTACATTTTGGTCAAATTCTGAAATTTTTGATAGCATTTTTTCCCTCCTTCTTTAGGATTTAGGGGAAATCCAGCACTACCTAGAAGCTCTGCAATTTTCCCCCATATAGACATTTTTACAGTTTTTTTGTCCGCAAATAAAGTTTGAAATTTTGCAGAGTTCCTTAGTTCCAACATGTATTCTGTAGCACGCCTATCAAGGTCGGTCGGTTTCCCTCTACTGCTCCAGATTTCTTGGTCGGTTTCAGCAGCTGCGACTGCGGTTTCAATAGTTTCAGGAGTTTCATCTGTAAACATTATGGTATAATTGAATTCATTCCGATAGCTTTAATATACTAAAAACTATAATTATTTTGCCTTAAGGGTCCCATATACGATACGATTGATCTGTAGAAACAGTGACATATCCTTTTAGATTGATCGTAACAACGGTTCACTCCTTATATGGAGTTTTGTAAGTATATTATAATGCTTATCGTAATGGATAAACGTCTACATACCAGAAATTCGAGAGATATCTATGTCGGCAATTGAAGTGCCTTTGCATACACCGAATTGTTCTAAAAATCCTTCCTCTATTGCCCTTGATATGTACTCTAGCACAAAATTGGCATCTACAAACAAAATGTGTTTATTTCTGTTATGTGTGGTTTTAGTATTATACGAACACATGCCTTTTGAGGTTCACTGATATAAGCAATTAACCTACCTGTTTTTAGTGCTGTTGCAACCACCCCACTATCCGAAAATGTTACAATTTCATTGTTAATTAAGAACTTCACCTCCACTAAAGTATCATCATCTTCTAGACTATTATCCATTATACCTATAAGTAATCTAGAATATAAAGTAACTATCAACCAAGAACTAATGTAAACTCACTACTCACATGTAAACATAAATAAAAGAACCAACCTCACAAATTGAGGTTAGAAAGTTAACTTTACTATTGCTTACTCCAGGTTGAAGGTAGGTAAGGGCATGTTACTTGGTTAGTGGTTACTCTAGCATACTACAGTGTGACGTGACGTCATTAGTTACTCGCCAGAAATTGAAAGCGGTCTTACTGAAGGTTACTTTTCTCGCCAGAAATCGCCTTTGATGTCGTCTCCATCACGATACACTTACACACGGTATGCTCATTATTTTTCTCAAACGCGTTTTCTACTGCGCATTACGTCACCTGCGAACATGTGGCGCCAAAATTCAAATGTTTACGCCAGGGCCGATCTAGTAGTACACATGTCACGCGTGACAGTTTTGCAACTTATAAGTTGTATCTTGTATCTACGAGGTTTACCGTTAATTTGTTGATAGCTAATAATTAATCATTAGTGAAATTTCCAAAATGCCAGGTTCTGTAGTGGCTCAATGGGGCAATTCTAATAGAAAAACAAAAGGAACGGAAATAAAATACTTTCGATTTCGGAAAATTGAAAACTTTTCTCAAAAATGGATTGTTGCAAGTCGTCGTAAGGACAAAATTAACTTGAAAAATGGTGTTACATTAATATTAAGTGGTGTATTTAAGTCTTTCCATTGCTGTTTAATTCTATAGCCGGTATTTGCTCTGAACATGTTGAAGCCAGCCGTTTTGAAGCACCGCTAAGGGAACGATTCCTTAATTAAACCTACTTTTAAAAACAGCGGACATTTGAAAACCTGATGCTTTACCTACTTTAAAACTACCACGTAAAATGAAAATCAAAATAAAAGGGAAACGGAAGAGAAATTCGATCTTTTAATAAAGCATTAATTACATAATATTTACTGAAAAAGCCGCACTTCATGTTTAGGGCCAATATTTTTGATTCGAGTTTATTTCATACGATCACCAAATCCCAGAAATACCCGTCGCGACGATCTCTACACAAAATCAGTGTGATTTGTCGATCTAAGAAGCGTAATTTTGCTCTATATTCTGTGGTTTTGTTCGCACGTGACGTCACGCTAGATGCGCAAGAGCATACCGTTGTAAGTGTATCGTGGTCTCCATTTATACTATCTCGATGCAAAGTAGGGAACGTGACATAAGACCCCAACTGTTACCGATACGCTACGAGGTAGCGTAGCGGTAACTGTTGTGTCTTATGAACAGCTAAATATTGTTATGAATATTATTTTGCGTATATAGTTTAATATTATTTTAATTGAAAACATATTTGTTAATTTGATGTACAAGCAATATATTTAAATATCTTATAATACAAAATCAGGATTTTTAACCGAAAAAAAGAAAAATTCAAACTTTAAGAAAAAAAACATTTTTGTGTTAGGGCTCGTACTTTGCTGCAAAATGCTATCAGAGGCAATTCGAATGAGACTCAAATAAATGGTATTGGCACGATTGATGGAAATGAGAGTAAGTATACGTTAGTGAATGATTATTAAATAAATTCAAATGCAATGTACATTTCAGAATATGCCTCCCGATTCACTTAAATGGTCTACTGCAGCAGTATTACTTTTGCTAGAAATATACAAATGCCACGAAGAGAAGTTGTTTTTGGGAAAGCACTCCCACAAGAAATTCTGGGAAGAGGTGTCCATCATGATGGCGGAAAAGGGACATAAAATTACAGGGTCACAATGTGCGGTGAAGTTACGCAGCTTAAAGAAGACGTACAAAAGTGTGAAAGACCATAACAACATTTCGGGCAACGATAGGCGCACATGGCAGTTTTATGAGGTTTAAGAAAAATTGTAGGTATTAAAACACATTTACCTTTACGCTAAGTTTCTACTTTAATTTTAATATTAGGTATATTTTTCCGATAATGGACGAAATATTTTGCAAAAGGGCTTGGTGCTCACATGTTGCTGTGGCGTCCTCAAGTGGACTATCAGTGAGAAGCAGCATCGAAGGTAGTGAGGAATTAGTTCTGGTAATTTCATAAATTGTTCACTTTAAAGATACTATATATAAGAGAGAGGCAAATGCAGACAAGCTGTATGATTTACTGAAAAAACGTTTGGATCAGAAACAAGAAGAAGGGAAAGAGAAAGCCGAACGGCACAAGCAAGGGATGGAAATGGATGAACAATTTTTTAGATATATTAAAAAAATTAGCTGAAAAGTATTTTACTTTTCTGCACATAAGAAAAAATGTTAAATCCCTTTTAGCGATTCCGGAAGCATTCTGTTTTCCTTCATATGAGATGGATGGTCTCTTCCATTTTCTTGTGGAGTTGGGCGTATGGCGATAACTTCGATTTCATCAATTCTTAATATACAAATATTGTGGACCACACACCGCTATCTCATATTCCGCCATTAAGTCCACTCTTGACATAGGCAGACAGTGCTGCAAATTTTTCTGCATCATTCAGGTAGTTGGCTACTTCCAATTGCCGAAACGCTCTTTGGTCATGAACTGAACCAGAATGTCCACCATAACAATATGTGATCAAAGTCCTATGCTCACCACACCAACTGTTACTGTATCGAAAGGATCGAGGAGAGATCTACAAATGACCTCCAACTTTTTAAGTCGATACGATACACACATTTCTTGGGGATTGAGCAATCGAGTTTGGTCTTTTTCCCAAAAAAAATTGGTGGATAAATAAGGATTTAGATGGATATTGGGCAATAAAGTGATGGATACTAAAATTAATTCTTGATACTTGTCCATCTGGAACCATAAGCTTTCTTATAGCGAAAACCAGAAGTCGATACGAGTTCTTCTCGGTACATAAATAACGATTTTGGCATGTTTTGTTAACAAAAATACACATGGACCACTTCTTGGGCATTGCGCAATTGAATTTCCCAAGAGAATCTATGCATAAATAACGATATTGACATCCTTTGATAAAAATATTTTGGTCACCAAAAATAAACATGTATTATTCCTTGGTTATCGAGCAATCGAGTTTGATCTTTTTCCCAACAAAATTGGTGCTACATAATAATTTTGACCAATCTAGAGCTATAACACGTGATGAATGCCAAAGTTAATTTTTGATAGTCGATACGAGGTCTAGGGACTGAGCTATAGTACGGAACGACACGCAGCCGGACGGAAATGTGAAGTCATAAGCGCTCCACTTTCGTGGATTGCGCTAAAAACGAATTACTTCGTCAGAACCCAGCAAATTATTTTTATTTTCGCTTGCCCGCTCTGTAGATTTATTTGCCCGCTCTTAGTAACTAATCTGGCTACGGCCCTGATTGAATCTATCACAGACAGATCTGTAGGAGTCCATCGTTGTCATTTTACAAATAGCAATCATCAATTGGAGCTGTGGTGGTATCAATGGAGATCCTTGTACCACTCTTATTAAGAATGGCCTCAGCATTTGTAAGAGAAATTCAAAAGTTGTCTTCAACATTCTATTAACAAGAAGTAATGTCATCTTGTGGAAAACGAAGAATTAGTATGTGTCAATAATGGTACTGAAAAACTAATATTTACCAACCTAAAGGGACTGTTGAATTCATAATCCGCAAAGCGGTCGATAATATAGCCGTAATTGGGAATTCGCGGACGAAGTGTACGCTTCTTCCTTTTACATTTAGGTAGCACAAATTCCCACTCATCATCAGAACTTGACGAGTCTTCACTTTCGTATTTTCTACGCATTACAATCACCTTAACGTTAGCGGTATCCATGTTGGAAAACTGTTCAGTCACACGTCAGATGTCACACCATAATCACATCAAGCGTTCCAATTAAGGTTTCGCCCACCACCCCTCTAAGCTAGTGGAACGATAAAACCGCGGTCGTGATCGTAGCGGGCGTTAAGTGGAACGTACCCTAAATGTTTATAATAACTCCTGTCATCACTGACAGATTGACATTAATCAAATTATATATGAAAATGATTTCGGGTAAAATTTAATACACAACTCGTCAGTAAAATGACACTACTTATCGAAAATAACTGCAGTAGGTGTAAATTTATAAAATTTAACCTCTGGTAAGTGGGATTCTAAAGAGTAGGAAAATAAAACATGTATAAAATTAACAAAAAATAAATACTGATAATTTACTCTCAATCGTATATTGATATTGACCTCTTGGTGCTGTTAATTGTAAGTTGCTCTTTGCTTAGTCCAACCTCCTCCGAATTACCAATTTCTTCCCCAATATGCACCGTTGGATGACTAGTGGGGTATTTATCATATTTGTTGCCGTAGGAACAAAGTGAAGTAAAATCTATTACTTTGACACATCTTTTCTGTTAATTTTTATTCCATTTCTTGAACTTGGACACAAATGTTGGTTTGTAACTACGAAATTCATTACAATAATAGAGTTTAAAAAAATTGCACATCAACTACCATATTATATAAAATTACATAAGACCTGGATTTTACTATTGTTTTAAAAATTGAAAAATGTACTCTTCGTGTCGTATAGCCGTAAGGAACGCCACACTTTATAGTCTCAGTGTCCCGCTTTCAATAAAACAATCGCGATAAACTGAAATATTTTAAATCTATCACAGTCAGCGCTTACAAAAACCATAACATCCCTCACGAACAGCAATTACAAACAAAAAGCATACGCGGAAAACTGGGTCATCCCATAAATTTCTAACGGGACATCAAAATAAAAAATATTGCATACTTTTTAATTTCAGTTAATACCCTTATTATGTGCCGATATCTTTATACGACTTTTTAACGTTTGCATCGAAATGTTGTAGTTTAATAACTTAAACAAACACGTCATATTGTAAACACCGCGTGCGTAAATATTGAAAGAGAATATTAATAATTTAAGGGTTGCCCCGTTTATGATTTTATCACCACTTTCCTTCCCGTTCGTGTTTCATGCGATCAATTAATTCTGACATCCTACGCTTTATCCTTCTCTTTTGGCTTGTTAAACCTCCTATCCGTCCCCTATTAAGCACTTCCACCTCATTATTACCGGCTATTTTGACGGGGCTTTATAACGTATCCGGAAATAATGTACTTCCGCAATGCGTAAGGCATTTATTTGATTTGCACCGGAATTTTTGGTAATCGACGTGCCATTTCACTTTCTAAAGAAATTTTATCTATTTCAGCACAATTACGCCGCGCATAAAAACTAATTGCCGTAATTATGGTTGAATCGAATGGTATCGCAAGCTTTGTGTGTATATGGCGGTGGACTGCATCCGGTGTTTCTACTCAGAGAAGTTTTGGAGTAAGCACTTGTCTTTCCGTTTATTGTGGTATGCCATATCCTATTCAACTGTAAGTGGTTTCGCGCATGAAAATAAAGTGGCAAATTTGTAATTTTCGTTAAGTAGGTCAGTTATACTCACGTCTAATGCCTTTACATTTGTGATGAGATGAAAACAAGGGAGAATCAAGGAAGATTATGGTCCTTGTTCAGTAGATTACGTATGACATTAGAGATAAATCTCGCATTCACTACCTCGTATCCACTATTACTATAGGGAATATTCATCATCAAAAGATGAAAAAGTACTGCTGGTTTTCTAAATTTAAACAAATAAAAAAGGTAAAGTGTATTACTTGATAAAAACACTCATCTCTAATGCCTTCTTGAACTTCTGCTTTAGAAATGACTATCTCGGATTAGAAAATTAGACATGTGACCGGAACAGGAATTCGGTACCTTTCGACAGAATGATCCAATTTCACCTCAAACGATCCAGTATAAAAAGAAAGCTCTCCCAGCTTAAAAGAGTGTAAAACTTGGACATTACTACGTCACTTAACACTAACAGGTTAACGGTCCACCTAAGAAATGGAAAAAGAACTATCGAAAGCTTCACAAGCCATTTAAGGACAGACAGTTGAAATGCAACTACTGCCAAGCTATCGGCCATCGACTGAGAAACTGTCAGAAGTGGATCAAAGACGGCAAGCCACCGAAAAGCAGTAATCAGCAAAGCAGCAACGTCAACTCCTAAATCGACAAACGGGATCAGTGTTCACCAGACGAAGCGCTTCGCTAGCGGTACCTAAACATCTGGTGAATGACTCGCTCAATTAACGCTTCAAAGAACGCGCTGCTACTCCATACGAATCGTATTTCGGCGACCGCTTTTTCTGGGTAGCGGTGTACACTGTGTGGAATGGTTAGTGTCAGATGGAGATTTGTGAACCGTTAAATGGTGGAATTTTGTAAATTTCATGTGAAGCTGACGTGCACGTACGACTAAAAAATGGCGAGTAAAATTCTTAATTTTTTTGGATAACCTAGTAGGTAACAACTGTCTTATATCTTTAAATTTGATAGCTAAACAGTTCTTTATTAGAAATGTGCAGCAGATTCAGTGCAAGGAAACAGAAGAAGGAGTAAGTCAGTATCCTCAAGAAATTGCAGGGCCATCAAATGAAGGTAAGGACAATTTAATACAATAAAAGCTTAGAACGAATTGTATTTAAAATACGTTATTTTCAAAAACAGAAATGATGAAAAGGGTATGTATTCAAACATTAAGAACAGAAGTAAAAGTTACATTTTATTTTTAAGACAAGCCGATGATGGTAAATAGTCGTATTATGCCCGTTGGTCCGTGAACACGATAACTGCTAAATGCTTTGGCCGATTCGGTTCAAACTTTTCACAGTTGACGGAGATACCATATTATGTAACAAGCCTATTAAAAATGGGTTAAATCCAATGGCCCCGTAAGGTCATACCGAGGTGCTCTGCCGCTTTTTCTAGGTATGATTTAGGGTTTTTTTCATATAAAGTATATGCCATAACAGCTTCTTGATTAGGAAACTTTGAGTGGAATAAACAAACAGCAAAACTGCTTATCGACAGTTATGTAGAAGTAAAAGATACCTTTGGAGACCCCAAAAAGAAAAAAAAAGAATATGTTGGCAAAAATCAAAGAAAACCTTTTAAAAGGGGATTATGAAATTACTATCGACATGTCAGACCGGAAATGAGGAAACCTCAAGAGTAGATATATGAAAATCAGAGATACAAGCAAAAAAAAGCGGACGTGGAGCCATACATTGGGAATATTACTCCGAAATGGACGAAATCTATAGGAAGGATAAAACAATAAACGTCGCCAAAACAATTTCGAGTAGCCAGATTCAGTTATTTGTTAATACAAAACATGTAGGTACCTACGGTGTTCATAACTTTAGTTTTTTTTAGCAGTTGCTGCATGCAATCCAAGTGAAGACTTGTTCAAAGAGATCCCAACACTGCCTGCATCAGTTTCAAAAGCATGTGCGTACTTTGAGTGCGTACTTTGAATGGCAAAACTGAAAAGGCTATGGTTAAGTAGGAGCCTCTATGGTATTCAAAAACGTATGCTGGTGGAGGAGAAACGGGTTGAGGAAATTAAATTACTGAGGCTTTCTATCGATCGAGCAAACAAATTACAAGAAGAGCGAAATGAGATTTTGAAAAAACGGAAAACTATTACAAAGAAATTTTTACTTATTGTTACACATCTTTACATATACAGTGAATTTTTTTTAATGCGAACATAGGAGTTTTAATTACGAAATCGGTTAGGTTATTGCTTAGAATGTCAAGGAGGACACTTCGAACATTTATTGTAATTGTTTGCGTTATTTATTTTCTTATTTTCTTCATTTATGTATTGAATAGATCAAATTAGTAGAATACCAGGTGCACATGACCTACCATGGAGGTACAATAAGTAGGGAGACGACACGACAGTTACCGCGCGACAGCAGATTAGCCATATTGGTGTGACACAAATGTCATCTAGGTATTGTCAGTAGCTGGCAGCTATTATATTAGTTTAATTGGTGCTTGACGATTAAGTATTTCCAAGTGTTATTGTTATTGGCGTGTCGTCCATGTTGGTATAGCGCGGTTTAGACGCTACGATAAATTGTAACAATTTATCGTTACGATCGAATCGTTACGATTTATCGTTGCGTGTGAACAGAGGATTGTAGCGATTTATTGGAATTGGAATTGGATTGGATGGTTGATGGCGGCCGGCTTCAATTTCTGCGAATCGTAGCGATAAATTGGAACGTGTAAACAATAACAGCGATTTATCGCTACGATTTGTGAATAATGTTGCCGACGTGAACCATTTTTGTATCCATTTGGGCTACTTGGACTGTCTCTAGCGCACACGTTTTACATTTGGCGAGTGGCGATCAAGTTTGGCCACCCAAAAAAAATATTTAGCGACACATGGCTACTCATAAATCATAATCGAGATTAAGATTCTATTGTAAGCAAGCAATGTAAGCAATAAAATGCGAGTATAATTTATATTAGTGGACAGAAGTCAGAACCAAAAGACAAGTGGAAAAGTAAAAAAATTAAAACTGTATTAAACCGTGATCGACAATGAGATTAGAACAAGAAATCGTTACATGTAAACAGTACGCACTCTTTCGATTTATTGAACGATAAATTGAACAATCAGATCGTTACGATTTATCGAAGCCAAGATCGTAGCGTCTAAACCGCGCTTATGACCATAGACTCCGCCTACTGACACTAGTTCATAATGCACGTCACAAGCCTGGTGTCGTCTCCTCTTATCTTTTACCTCCATGTGACCTACAAATAACTGAAGGTTGGTTCACAATGAATTGTGGTGTCAGTGCGTGGCCTGTGAGGTCAAGGTATCGTAAGTTTAAGAAAAATGCATCCTAAAGTTGCTATGGCCTCACATGACTTCTTTAAAAAAATCT